CCACCACACACACACACACACACACACACACACACACACACACACACACACATCATATTACTTATTTACAAACGTCTACATTTTCCATGAGCCACTATTCTTCTTTCAAACTTAACAATTAAGTTAAGAACAAGGAATTCTTTTGGGAAGAAGATAACTTGCATTCCTCTTACTCGTCTTGAACCTGGTTGAGTTGACTACGAGTTGAGTTCAAGTCAGAGTCTAATTGTTGTAAGTCCCGATCCCGAAAACCAGACTCTTTGTGTCTCTCCTTATCAAACGTGTCCTGGAAAGACACAAATCAAAAGGTAGTCTCAACACATGAAACCCTGTGGACAGATTGCAAAAACATCACGCTGGGCAAAAGAAGTCAAGCCCCAAAGAGCACATAATGTATAGTTCCATTAACATGAAGTTCGGTGCAGGCAAAATTAACCGAGAGTGATAAAAATCAGAAGAGTGGTTGACCTGAGGGTGGAGGGAGGGGACTAGGAAGTGGCACAAGGGGATGCTCCAAAGAGATGCAAACACTTCTCATCTTCATAGAGATGTGTTACACGGATATATCCATTTGTAAAAATTCATCAATCTATGGTTTTCACTGAAAGTAAATTATACCTCAGATTTTTCTTAAAAGACATTGAAATATCTTACATCTTTATACTCAGAATAACACCTACAGGGGGTAAAAATCTAAGAAGTATATGAAAATTCTTACGTCAAAAAATTGGTTTAATAACGACTTACGTCTATGGAACACTTACCACATGTAAGTTGTTTCCCATGTTTATCATATTTAACTGTTACAATGACCCTGTTAGTTCAGCAGAAGCATTGTTCCCACTTAGCAGATGAGGAAACTGAGACCTAACAGGTTAGACAAACTACCCCGGACCATAGAGGGTGGATTAGCATTCTTCGCAGTGATCTCTAAGCTGGAATCCTTCAGCCACTGCCTTCATAAGGCTCTCTTGCTTAGAACAGCTTGCTCTAAATGCTTCAATTTTTGGAGGGATTTATGTAAATCCATCCAAACACTGATGCCATGCCATAACCATAATGATGCCAGTGCCTTAAGCAAAGTATGTTTTCTCTTTCCAGGCTGGTCCTCAACTGTTAAAACACTGCCACTGTCCCCTGGAAATCATCAATATCAACCACAAATTATGACCCTCTTTATCAGTCTACCAGAATTGAGTTTTCTTCTTATCTTAGAAGTTTCCTATTAGTTTTATTTTTTAAACTCTTTCAGAATACAGAGCTTTCCTCCATCTAACAATCTCTTTCTCTTCTGACCTCTCCGTGGTACCCCATCTGGATGACTAACTTGTCATTTCAAAGTTACTATTTAACCTCTAGAGTGGGCCCAGCAATGTCCCAGATGCAGACCACCACCAGACGCTTTTCACAGCTGAGGAAGCAGAGGCTCACTGAGTTGCCTAAAGTCATACCACCAATAAACAAGGAAGGCTGAGATGTTAATACCGATCAGTCTTAAGAGAAAACTCAATCCATTATGCCATCTACTACTGTATGTATAGAGACTCACATTTTATACCTGGGTCCCAATTCCCTGACTAGAGTTGAGCCCCTTACTAGGTTAAAAACCATGTATTACATATGTTTGATTTCCCAGAGCCTGATTAGATGCTGACAACCTAGGATGCCTTTAGCATCCCTACCTGTAGAGAGGGGACCTTGCTGTCGACAGGTTTTCCCAGGGAAGCGGCAGTAAAGGAGGCCTCCAGCCAAGGCAAAAGGCGTGATTTGATTGTTTCCACACCATCATAATGTCCTCCTAGAAGAATCCACAAATCAGGTCAGCAAGAGAAATCCAACCACACCAGTCCAGTCAGAGAGCACGGAGAAGGGACAAAGGAAAGGAAGGGGAGGGGAGGAGAGGGGAAGGGGACACACCAGCCGTTCTCACCTTCTTGGGCTGTTGTGGTGAGGATCCCAAAGAGTTGTCCCTGCACTTTGGCAACTTGCTCAATGAGTTCGAGGCAGTGATTTAGATTTTGATCACATGAGTTCGTCTGCAAAGCCAGAACAGTAGATGTCAGTGCAATTCCCTAATTCTGGGACCCACTGTGGGTGGGCAGGCACCTCGCTTTACACAAGGGCCACCTGGCTCTGGTACAGTCCCAGGGCAGAGACTGCTGTGTGCTCACCAAAACACATTCCCTCTCCTCCTGGCACACAGCTAGACTGCTTCCCCCAGCTTCCCTGGCAGCTGGTGTGGTCATGAAACCGAGTTCCAATCCATGGGACTGGAAGTGATGTGTGTCTGTCCTGAGAGATGGTCTTCTCTCTCTTTCTCCCCATCTACTAGCCAAATGCAGAGGACCCAGCAGAGGACCGCAAGGGCATAAGGGGTGATGGAGACACAAGCCTTAGAAGGCTCCTAACTGAACACTTGAACTATTACATAACCAAGAAAGTTTTTTTGTGGGTACTAAGTCACTGAAATTCGGGGGTTGTTTTTATAGCAATAACCCTGTCTCCCCACTCAATGGAACCCTGCAAAAAAATTCTTTTATAAAGGGATTCTTCCTTTTGTAACACAATACAAATCACTGTCTCCTAATTTACCCACTTCATTGGTTCTTATCCTCTACCTAAGTTCAATAGATACATAAAGAGCACTACTTGTTAACAATAAGAAGGTATTGCTGGGTTGAAGATACAGTGGAGAGTAAGACAAAAACAGATGGCCCAGGCCATATGGCGATGCAGACCCGTGGAGGAGAGGCGAGAGCAGTGACCCTGCAGTGGAATAATAAGTCCTACTATGGGGATGAGCACAAGGTTACCAAAGAGCCCGTTGTCTTAGAAAGTTAGGGAAGGCTTTGGAGAGGAAGTGCAATCTAGGCGAGAAGAAATTGGGGAGGTTTGGGGAAAGAATTGGCTGGTTCAAGTAGTTATGGAAAATTCTAAGCAATTTGAACAGAACAGAAGAAGCCGGGAAGTAGATTTTTCAGCTATTTTTCTAGTTTTGTCATCTCCTTGGTAACCTTTTACCATTTCCTTCGTTAGCCAAATCTCTAATTAATTCTAACTCTAAAGGAACAAACACAACTACAAGTAACAAATCGTGTGGGTGTAAAAACACATAGATTCATGTGTCACCTGAAGCCATAATGAGGCACTAGGAAGCCCGAGACAGGAAGTGGGGGATAGAAACTAGAACGAAGAAGAAAAGTTTAGATGACCTCTAGGCAAAAGTCTATAAATAAAATGCAGATCTGTGTCAGCAAGAGAAATGGTTCAGACGAGCAGTAAGCTCTTGTGGACAGTGGCTGTGCCTGGTCCGTTCACTGTTGCATTCCCAGCCCTGCATCCTAGCATCTCTTCTATTCAAGCGCAACACATATTGGAAGGATGAATGAAAATGAGATGATTCACCCACTTTGGCTTTATTACATAGCCTCTAAGTGCCAGGCACTGTTAACGCTTTATGTACATAAACTCAGTTAATCCCCACAATAGTACTCTAGGGGACAGGAGTATCATTGTCGTCATCCCCATTTTCAGAAGAGAAAACTGAGACCCAGAGAGGTTAAATAATGTGCCCAAGGTTATTTAGCTAGTAAAATGTCAGAACTGAGACCTGCTTCCAGAGCCCACACTCTTAACTACTAAACTGTACTGGCTTTTAGATCGTGATTAGCTCTAATCTGAAGACTTAATGATGTGACAAAGAAATGAATGAGGGTGGCAGTCAGGGAGGCCTTTCTGAGGACAAGACATTGGAGGTAAGTCCCGGATGCAAAGCACTAGAGAAAGAGCAGGTGGGGCTGCGGGAACAGCAAGGGCAAAAGCCGACAGCCGAAACAAGTTTGGCAACCTTGAGACATGAAGCAAGTGCACGGGGCAGCAGGTAGGCGGTCAGAGAGGTTGGCAGGACAGATCCTGGAGGGCCCTACAGGCATGGTAAGCAGTCTGGATGGACTGAACTTACTGTAGCAGAGGGGGAGCTGCTGGTTTAGTTTCCATTCCTGGGAAGCAGTACCTGGTGACTAGCTCTGTTGTAGCACTGATTTCTGTTGCTGCCATTTCTTTCTTTGTCTCATCCTCTTATCTTTTTCTCTTAAAAAGACTTTAAAAGAGTTTTGTTATAAATGGCTTTGCCTTTCTCATGTTTGTAGTAGTTGTCTGGCCACTAGTATCCATGGCAAACTGAAGGGTCCAATGATATCCGGTGAGTGATGAGTGATGTTGTTGACATGGTCAGAACCTCGGAACCCACAGCCTGAACAGCTACCTCCATTCCTTCCTCGCTGAACAAGCAGCTCCTGGCCATTGCCGGTTCACTCCTGCACTTACCACAGTGAACTTCAGTTCCCCGCTTTACAGCCTTTTGCTCTGGCTAGATCATGTCATGTGCTAAGTGGACAGAGAATGGGCTCAGGAGTCCAGCAGACCTGAGTATCTCAGCTCTGCCCCTTAGCACAGAGCTGTGTGATCCTGCAGAGGTTCTTTAACCTCTCTGAGCCCGTTTTCTCTCCAGGAAAAAGAGAATAAAGGCCTGTAGAGTGTTGAGAGAATTAAATCAAAGTAATGCAAGTTCCACACCCTAAAGGCAAAAGATGTTCAACAGTTGGTACCTGCGAGGTGGTACACAGAACTGAATGGAGCAGTGGACTGAGTGGGCAGACTGTGGTTCAAATCTGGTTCTCCACTTATTAGCTGCCTTTCCTTAGAAAAGACCTTTTAAATATGAGCCTCCATTTACTCATGTTTAGAAGGTGATCTCACGAGCTAACTTAGGTGCAGAGTAGAGGAGGTATTTAATAATTAGTATTATTGTAGTATTATTACTATATGCTCCTATGCCTTGCCCAGTGTCTGCTACAAAGTTGGGGCCCAACGTTTGTCAACTGAGTGTGTAACACAACTTAAATACTATATCAGATGGTTCCTGTTCCCAAAACGTGTCACAACATGCTGCAGCGTCTAACACAAAGCATTGCACAAGACACTCAAGTTGCAATAGAGTGACATTATTCTACCAATTGCTCCCACAAGATAAATAAAGCAAAAATATGAGCTAAAACTATACTATCTTCTAATTCCAAAGTTCATCCATTTACAAATCACTGAGTGCCTTTAATTTGTAAGCCTTGGGCTGGCATCTCAGGAAACAGAACTCCATTAAAAAATAAAAAGTTGCCTGCTGTCAACGAGCTCACCAGCTGGGGAAGTAGGATGGAGAATAGGAAACCCAGAAAGAATGAATAATTCCCTTAGAGTTTATTAAATGCTCTAGGAAGATAATGAATTGTACAAGGAGCAAAACGCACTCTGGTGAGGGGTAAGCCGTTGGAGCAGGGACCAAGGCAAGAAGCAGCAAGGATGCCGGGTCCAGAGACCAAATAATGAAGGACTTGATTTGCCACATGAAGAGCTCTGGGCTTTGTCCATCACTGAACGATTTAATAGGGCAAGTGGAGGATTTGTTTTGCACTTCACAAGAATTAGTCTGGCAGGAGTGGACCAGATAGTTAGGATTGGAGGGCGAGTCTGGTGAGGAGATAGGAAGGTGTAACGTCTGGCTGAGGGATGCTACGAGCTGTGGAGATGACAAGGGTCCCCTAAAAATCCTCCACAGCCCCCAAATCATGTCTGTGTCAGCCAAGGTCCCCCGGATTCTTGCATTATCTGCGGAGAAAGTTAGGAGGTTTGGAAACAGGAAAGAGGTGTAAGAGGTGGGATACTGTTTTCAGACAGTTTAAGGGGTTCAAAGGACCTCCAGATAAAGACATCCAGTGATAGTTCCTAACCATTATTGAACACGTACTCTATCCCAGCCAGGCACTGTGCTAACAGTTTTAAATACATGTTTAAACGTTTCATTTAATCATCAAAACAGCCCTCCAAACTGGATACCATCCATCATCTTGAATTCACCAGCGAGGAAAAAAAATCTTAAGTAATTTGGAAGAGATAATGATCAGGCTGGAAACTAAACCATTCCTGTTGCTTCTGGCACTGGAGCCAAACTCTCAAACATGCTTTCTTACCAAAAGTAGTTGGAAAGTAACCTGGATCTCAGAAGAGAGATGGGGATTGGGGATGCGGCTTTGGAACCCTCCAGTAGAGGGAAAGTGGAAGCAAGGTGCACAGATGGGATCACCACGCAGAGTATAAAGCGGGGAGGGGACTAAGGGCAGGACAGAGGGTAATTTTGCTATTTCAGAAGTGGGCTGAGGAAGAAGGGCCAGTGAACAAAAAACAAAACAAGAATAGTGAGCAACAAGAGGGACAGCCAAGAAGAAAGATGAATTACCAAGAAGCCAAAGAAGGAGATGAGTTATTCTCTGCTTTACCTGTGTATCTATGCTCTCAGCAAATCTTTATGGAGGGAGCTACTGGGTGCTGGATGCTGGGATGCAAGACAGTCTCTTGCCCTCGAGGAATTTTTATTTATTTTTTGAATTGAAGTATAGTTGATTTACAATGCTGTGTTAGTTTCTGGTGTGCAGCATAGTGATTCAGTTATACATTTATATACATTCTTTTTCATTATAGGTTATTACAAGATATTGAATACAGTTCCCTGCACTATATTGTAGGACACTGTTGTTTATTTATTTAAATACAGTAGTTAATATCTGCAAATCCCAAACTCCTAACTTATCCCTCCCCCACCTTCCCACTTTGGTAATCATAAGAGTTTTTTTCCATCTGTGAATCTGTTTCTGTTTTGTAAATAAGTCCATTTGTGTCATTTTTTTAGATTCCACATATACGTCCCATCATATGGTATTTGTCTTTCTCTTTCTGACTTCACTTGCCCCCAAGGAATTTATAATCTAAGATAAACATGTAAATGAATGCAAAACCAAGTATCACTTGCTATAAGAAAGGTAGTTCCAGAATTCAGAGGTGAGGCTCAAAGGAGGAAGTGGTAGGAAACCAAGAAGATTCAGGAAAGCCTTCGCCTGAGGGATGTGTGGGCTCTCACTCTTAGAAATTCTAATTGCTCTATTGTGGGGTCTGAACATTAAAAAGCTTTCTAGATGATTTGTTACGT